CAGGTGAGTTGTATGCAAGATTTCAGTTGTTACTCACGAAAACAGTGTGTCATTTTGTTTGGCTGCTTACAGCTGCAACAGACGAACTCTGCACAAGAAGACTGACCAGTAGCAGGTTTGGATTTTAACTGCCACAAAAACTGAACAAAAGGCAATTCCCTTTTCAGCCCATGCAGTTTTTTAACTGGGAAAGGAAGATTATGGCAATACGAGAGTTGATGCGGCAAGCATGAGCGAGTTATACGTACTTCAAAATGACCTGCATGCACAGATCATTACCTACTATTATCCTGAAAGGATTGCACTTTTTTTCCATCAGCAGAGAGAAAAGACATAAGGGGGCTCAGACGACATACTCCAGGTTGGTTTCGTACCTAAGCATTAGCCAGTTTTACAAGAAAGACAATCAGATGCTCCAAATTCAAGTGGAAATCCTATCGGCAGTAACAGAGGGGCTAGCTTGTGCTGCTTCCTGGCTACGACTAGAAGAGAAAATCCACGGGCAGGTAAGCAGGTACAGAGCTTGCTGAGTACATCACCCTTCAGGCACCCTCTCTTCTCGGTGCCACACTGACAGGATTCAAGAGCACAATTTCCAGTCTCTGCCCATGTCCCTGGTGCGACAGAGCGTGGTGTGACAGGTGCCGGATTAGCTCCAGATATTAGGCTGCAGGAAGCACAGAGCATTCTGGGCCTTACCTCACTTTTCCTTTCTAACTTGTACCTTTTCTTTGACCTACATTCCTGAACTGCTCCTGTGGCACGAGGCAGACAGAAACCGTAAGTGGGAACATCTGACTTCTGCACATTCAAAAAAACTAAAGTATTTGGTGATTGTGAGCCTCTAAAAAACAAAGACCAACAAAAATATTAATGAGACTTTATTTTCTAAACTAACAGGCTTGCAACTGTTCAGAAATTTCAAAATAAAACAAGAACAAAATAAAACAAGGAACACCTGTTTCCCATTTTCCTCTTTTCACCTCTGTTACCAAGTCACACAGTTTTATTTTTCATCCATGTAGACCTAGAGCCAGGCAGAGGACCAGCCCAAAGCACCATGAAACCATCTTACGCGGATTTACACTTCTAACTGAGCAAGGGTGGTTTGCCCAAGAATTGAAGGAGAGGACGGGAAGAAGTCAGACCCATTCCAGAGTGCTAGGAAGCAGCAAAGGCAGGC